TTCTTCTTCTTCTTCTTCTTCTTCTTCTTCTTCTTCTTCTTCTTCTTCTTCTTCTTCTTCTTCATGTCCTCCTCCTCCTTCTTCTGCACATGTTCAAGCACAGTCATACCTGAACTCATCTTCAATTACTGTAAGGGCATATCAATTACGCCTATAAGTCATGTGCCCCTTTTTTATGGGCTGGTCTCACAATTATTTATTACAGACCCAATTAAACTAAATTATTTCTGTTAAACTGAAACAAGAACACAGCAGGGAATGGTCATCTCTTCACTAAATAACTTCACATTCCTTTTCTTTCCATAGGAAATCAATTCCTTACAGTGCCAACTCGGGGACAGAATCAACATTGAAGTAACGGCTGCCCCTTCTGTTGACCTAAATCAAATTCTACAAGAAATGAGATGTCAGTACGAGTCTATCATGGAGACAAACCGTAAAGATGTAGAACAATGGTTCAATACACAGGTAGGGAGAGCAAACAAGTTAAAAAAAAAAAAAAGCAATAAGCTATATATTTCTAGGACCCCTTTTGTGTCATGCTTCCTAGCAAAAGACCCGGAATCACTGTGTTTCAGATGGAGGAACTGAATCAACAAGTAGTGAGCAGCTCTCAACAGCAGCAATGCTGCCAGAAGGACATCGTAGAACTGAGATGCACCATGAGTACCCTCAAGATTGAGCTGCAGGCTCAGCACCGAATGGTACCCAGGAGGCCGACCAAGCCTTCCTTCCTCCTTTCCTTTTTTCCTTCCTTCTTTCCTTCCTTCCTTCCTTCCTTCCTTCCTTATTTACTTACCACCATCATAGAAATGGTGGTCTTTCCAGAAAAAAACCCACCTCCCTGATACTGCCTCCATTTTTTTATCCCTGTAAATGATCTTAAAATTTCTGGAACTCAGATATTTGACACTTACTGGTGTCAACAGTCCCTGATGTCCGGGTGTTACACTGTTTCCAAGACTGTGTCTCTGTCTAAAGGGTCTATGATGAGAAAGGAACTTTATGGTCAAGTCAGTCTTGGAAATGTTGGATTGCACAAGAGTTAGCCTTTCTGCGAGCGAGCCTACAAATTGATAAATGCCATGGATCTCCGAGGAGGGGTGCAGCACTCAGGATTCCAAAACTTCTTCGATTATGGACATTCTTTTTGCCCCCTACAGCAACTGTGACCCATGGAAAACACTTTTAAGAAACACCAGGAGAGCATTTGGGTTCTCTTATGCAAAGCATTATTGTAAACTACCAAATGGGATTATGAAACAAGGTTCTGAAAGCGGAGATGGAAACCATTAACTGACTTGACTGGTGAGGTCCTGAAAACCAGGATGGTTTCTCCAAGCCAGATGCGCACTAAGAGCCATCACAGCTAGTTCACAGATGGAGACACTGAGGTCCCAACGCCACGAGTCACCAAAGAAATGTGCCAGGATCGGCTCCCAGAGCCAGCACCACCTCTGCTTCCTGAGACTGAGTCTCAGAAATAAGACAGTACTCAAATGTCCTGCGAGGAAGGACATTAGGAAAACCTCGCCCCAGGTTTCATCACCTGCTAGTCATGGAATATTGGGCAACTCACCGAACCTCATGTTTCTCCTCTATAAAAGTTGAGATGGCCATGTGAATAACCAGGGTTATTAAAACCTAAAATCCCGTAGACCTACAAAATGATAGAACAAGAAAGAACTTGACACGTTCACATTTCAACACTCGTGTTTTACTTATAAAGGAGTTGACCCGCTGAGGGGAAATGCCTCTAGTTAAACATTGCTCACTTCCCTTGAAAGGCTCAAAGGCTGGCTGAATGAGGTATTCTGGTACAATTCTAATGCCTGAGCCTTCAATAAAATAAGGTAGAATTCTCTCTCTCTCTCTCTCTCTCTCTCTCTCTCTCTCTCTCCAGAGGTAATGGGAAACAAAAAAGAACAAAGGGAAAAAAGCCAGAGAGGTTAAAAAAGAGAGAGAGGGCACAAAGGAAAGCAAATTTATCATTTTTGTTTTGGATTTATTTGTTAGGAAGTAATAAAGGTGTTGGAGAGCCATTAGTACAAAGAAACTATTGCTTAAAATGGCTTTAACGGTGACCTTAAGGGGACTTCGAAGGAGTCATCATTAGAATCTGTTTTCCTGATCTTCCACAGAGAGACTCCCAGGAATGCATCCTAGCAGAGACAGGGGCCCGCTACACCACCCTGCTGGCCCAGATCCAGAATCTGATCCATAACCTGGAGGCTCAGGTGGCAGACATCCGGGCTGCCCTGGAAAGACAGAACCAGGAATATGAAGTGCTGCTGGACATCAAGTCCCGCCTGGAGTCTGAGATTGTCACCTACCGCAGCCTATTGGAGAGCTTGGATGGCAGGTATGTAAAATTAAAACAATGTATAAGAGAAAGCTATAGACACACAGACACACACAGAGAGATACACACACACTCACACACATGGGGTGGGAGGAAGGGGCATCAGAGACCAATGCTTTGATCTTCTTGGCAGTGATCAAACATTCTCGAAAGGCCTACAGTTGTAATGTAGTGCCAGTTCGAGGTTTGGCTAGCGGGTGGGACTAAATTGCTTTGAAAGGCCACATGTCAAATTAGTCCCTTGTAGGTTGCAGCCCACTAAGACAGAGGTTCTCAACCTGTGGGTGGTGACCCCTTTGAACTCAAGCGATCCTTCCACAGGGGTTACCAAAGACCATCGGGAACATCAAATATTTACCTTACAACTCATAGCCATCAAAATTACAGCTATGAAGCAGCAACAAAAAAAGAATTTTCTTGCTGGGGGTGGGATCAGCACAACATGAGGAACTGTACAAAAGGGTCACAGCATTAGGAAGGTTGAGAGCCACTGGCCTAAGACGAGCATGGGACTGTTTTCAAAATGAGAGAGGACCGCCCTGGTTCCGTAGAGAAACACAGTGCTCAGGCTGAAACCCCCACCCTGTCTAGATATTGCACTTGACCCAACAGCGGCGTGCTGACATGTTGTGTTTCTAGATCCTTTCTTTTACAAATAAGGTTTTGTTTTTGTTTTTGTTTTTTTTTAACTGATAATAAGCCAAGCAAACCATATAGAACTCAGCCAAGCGTGAGTTCTTTAAAGCAACTCAGGCCAAACTATCCCCTGCAAAAGCTCCGTTAATATGGCGAAGGACATCAACTTCCCCAAAGTTATCAGTCCCCTCCATTCACTGCATTCCCTTTACTGGCCTGTGGGCACAGCGCAAGTGCGGCGTTAACAGGTGCTGTTTCTTTAAAGAACTACAGTGTACCAGAGGCCAGCATTTACCCAGTAAAAATCATGTATTGCAAAAAAGAACACTTATTGCAAACCATCGGCTACTCCAGTTTTCTAAAATAAAACACAAACAAACAAACAGAAAACACCCAAAGCTAAAGACGCCTCCGTCAGTGCAGTTCAGACCATCTCTAATTGTATGAGGAAGCCTGCACACACAAGGAAACGACGTAACTCATCTTCATTCTCTAGAGAGGAAGCCCCTCCCCTTGCTGCATCCCCTTGTTGGTGTGTGAGGTTAGCCCCCACTGTGTCCCGTCTGCTCACGCAAAACTAAAGCTCAGGAGGGCCGGTGGGTTCAGCCAAGGTCGCCCACCAGCAGATAAGAGAGCTGGGCCCTGGCCATGCCTTTGACTGCTGCTGCAGTGTGGTTTCCATGGAGCTAGAGCCGAAGTTTAACGCTGGCAATCCTTCTCAAGCCAGGAGGCTGTCTTCCAAAGGATCTGCTCTAACTCTCGTTCTTCTCCTAACCACAGCACAAAAATGGATGAATAAGCACTGAGGGACGCTTACTCTGAGTGACAAGGAGTGAAAACCTTGCCACTCCCATCTTCTCCACAGCGATGATCATTGCCCTTCCTCAATCACAGCTAAAATTCTGTTGTTGTTGTTGTTGTTGTTGTTGCTGCTGCTGTGTTGTTGCTGCTGTTGTTGTTTCTACCTAGACTTCCCTGTAACCCGTGTGCCACCAAACGGGAGTCATCCTGCCAGGCCAGAGCTGTGGAGTGTTTGGCCCCGGTTTGTACATCTACATCACTGCCTGGGGTTCCCAAGCCCTGCCGTGCCTCTGGACCCCCATCCTGGATACTGGTTAAAATATGCACCTTCACCAAGGAGATCAAGGACGGGAAAGTCGTTTCTTCTTATGAGCACGTGCAGCCTTGCTACATCGCCAGACCTGCCAGAGTCTAGCCTCCCAAGGTGATGAGAATGACCCACATTCATGAAAGAGAGGCCAGTGTATGCTCCAGCCAGAAAGGTTTAAGGAACCCCCCAGTCCCTTAAGGTACCCAGTTTCTTACTACTACAGTGGGGCCCCATCTTTTCTTCTTCTCCTCCCCTAAGTTACTGCTGCCAACATAATAATGTCACGTTTCTCTGGAAGGACAGTCTGTATTGTCACAGGGATGGGTGCTGATTAGCGAGTGCCTACGTTGCTCGCCAAGCCAGATGAAGGACAAGCAGGTTTCCCTCTTGTTTGCTCGAGCCTTGTTTATCTCCGTGCCTCCGCAGAGCCAGTCAGACAAGTTCTGGGATTGATTTTGGCAATCGGCACGTGAAGGCAAAAAGCCACAGCCTTGCCTTCTGAGTGCCTTCTTTGGATATAGAATAAAGCCAGCACAGGGACAGAATAAATAAGGAAGACCCAGATGCCTAGTTCCCAGGGATGAAGCAATGACAAGCCTGGATCCTCCTGACTTTGCTACCTCAACCAATTATTTATCTATACCAGTATATTCTCCCTTCACCAAAAAAACAATTGTGGGAACTTTCTCCATTCTCTGTATTCTCCCCCCCACACACACACACCCTTATTTTCATGTTTTATTTTCAGGCTGGGTCTTACTGAATTTCCAAGGCTTACCCTGAACTCATTCTGTATCCCAGCTGAGTCTTAAATTTGTGATCCTCCTGCCTCAGCCTCCTGAGTATTTGGGATTATAGGCCTATCCCATTACATATGGCAGATATCCACAGTCTCTGAAATTTGGGGAACCACAAGGCTGTTCTTCAAATGTTTCCCTTAAGAATCAGGATTAGTTGTGTGGGATGAATCTAGGGCTCTCTCTTTGGAGTCATATTGAAGCAGTAGCCTGAATCCTTTCATTAAATGTTGGCTGTTTCTGTTTCTATCCCTTAGGGTATGGGAGTTTGATCTGCTTGTTTGACAAGGGGCATAGAGCTGGATTTCTCAAGACATAAGACTCGATGGGTGACAATGACAAAATAGCTTAGATTCCTGCTTCAGTCTATCCATCAGGAAAGAGATGGAATTAAAATCCCCAAATGTTCCAAAAGAGCATTAGTGAGTAATTTCTGCTTTCAAGCAAGAGGCCACTCCAAATGCCAGATGCCACCATTCTATACCAGCCATTATCACAACATTTAGAGCAGGCCCACAGAAGTAGGGAAGTCATTCTTTGCGGGGAAAAAAAATATTGGACCTTGTTAGAGGTGTTAGCAAAAAATGAAAAAACAAAAACAAAAAAAAACCTGAATGAAACACAAGCTGTAGACTCCAAAGACCTGATGTCCTATATGTGCCAACTTCCTACCACAACCCTGAACAAAACACCCAGCGCTCCTCAAACTGATTCCCTGACGTGTTCACTGAGGATTATGCCTGCTTCACAGGGCTGTTGTGAAGATACCATGAGCCCCATTCTGTACCTGATCGCTGTGCATGTTTTTTGGGTTTTTTTTTTTTTTTTTTTTGGTTTTTTTGTTGTTTTTTTTTTGCAATTAGCTACAGCCTGGCCCTAATTTTCTTTCATTGTTCCTTCATTTTAAAATTCTTTCTCTGTGAATTTAGCTATCCAGTCATGATTTGGGAGTCTGAACAATGTTCAGTGTTGGGCGGGCCTACAAAAAAAACGAACATGTCCTCTGATCATACCCACAATTACACTAAATAAAGCATATTTAAATTCTTAGCGTGTGTGTCAGGTGCACGTTGATGCTCACATCAAAGACACCTGCTGTGTTGAACTCCCGGCTCGGCTGCGTACTTCCTGCAGAAGAGCAGCAGCTCCCACAAGGCAGGCGGAAAGCAGAACTCTCAGAAGAATCTCTTCCGTCATTAATTTCCCAGCAAGATATGCAGAGTTGTGCCTGTCAGAATCCCATTTGGCATTATCTCAGCCTGCAAGATGGAAGTATAGAAAACTGGTACTCAGAAACCAGGAACAGCCTCCACCCAGTCTGTGTGTGATCTTGAGTAAAAGTGATTTAACAACATTGGCCCTGCCTGGCAGATAATAGAAGGGTTCAAGGGGCTAATGATGGTGAGCAGGCTTGGTAAATGATGCACAGTGCTGGGCAGAAGTAAATTCTTAGTCCTAAATTAGACACTGGACATGTCCTTTCCATCCATGGGTTTTGGTTTGACTCAGTACTAGGCCAGAGAGATCCTGCCTGATACACAATACTAACTGGAAAACCAGTTGATAACAGGTGAGAACTGTGCCCCTTGCCGTTTTGATTCCTTCTGAATCTAGGGCTTAGGAACCCCTAACCTTGGGCTGATGCAACAAAGCCATTCTCTGTTCATGCCCCAAAAGAAGACATCTTTCTCCTGCTCCAATCAAAATATCCGCCATGCCACCCATGCTAAAAATAAAATACGATGACCTGCATCATAAAGAGAGAATCTGGCACCTCAAATGCCTATAATCCTTAATTGTCTCCTTTGCATAAAAGCATATAAAACCATCTTGACAAGTTTGTTTACTTAGGTCCAAAACAATAAAATAATTAAAAGCAATATGAAGTCTAGATTTTTCTAGAAGGCTGAAGAAGTATCCTATGCAGCCACAGGGGAGAGGGAGAGGACTTGTTTGTTTGTCCGTTGTTTGTTTTATACACACTTCAGCAACTGGTTAACAGTCTGACAACCTGAGATTATATCCACAGAACCAACATACAAAGCTAGTGCAGATGCTGGAGAGGCAGAGAGGAGGGTCGCTGGAGCTTGCTGGGTACCCAGTCCAGCCAATCAGTGAGCTATAGGTTCAGTAAGGGACACTGTCTGTCTTTAAGAAATGAAATAGAGCAATAAAAGAAGACATCTGACATCAACCACTGCTCTTTCCATGCACTAGCGCACATACAAGAACACACACACACACACACGAACTCTATGACTTCTCTTCATCATTTCAAGTTAACGCAGTAATCGTGCATTAACAAGGATCCAATGTGACCTATCTACACACACAGGCGGCATGTGGCGATCATCTCCATCCACCTTCCTCCTTTCGTGGCCCTTTCTTTTAGACTCTGACATTAGCCATATACATGACCACTCACTGACAGCTCCTCTTTGTAGACACTGGCCATGTCATTTCCGTGGTGGTTTCCTTTTGGCTTGACTCAGTGCTGGGCCAGGTAAATCCTGCCTGGTACATACTGTCAACAAAAACTGGAAAACCATTTGGTAACAGAGTCAGTCTACCTGACTCTAAAATGAGGTAAACCATCAATAATCAATATGTTAGCAAGCTTTTGAACTCATTTTTTGAGCTCCTTTGATGATCACTCAGCCACCACCAAGCAGTTACTACCAATAATCTCATGTAATCCTTGAGGAAACCACTGGCTACAGACATTAGCACTCAGCACCCCACAACGATGAGATTTTAAATTCCCCTGTTGTGTGATTTATCATGTAGTCTCCCCTAGCAGAAACCCATAATAGCATTGATGGTTTTTTGTTGTTGTTGTTGTTGTTTTACAGTTCTTCAGAGTTCCAGTCCCATTTGTTGTCTCTAATGAGAAGCCATTCAGGACCCTTGTGTCATTAGCACCAACCGTCCTCATTTATCCAAGCTCGTGGGCTGGGTGAGCTTTAACATTAGAAAGGTGTATTGATGGCAGTTAGCCGCCTTCTTCATATCACAGAAAGAGAATCCAGGGCCCAGGAGGAAAGGCAATTGGACAATGAAAAATATCCAACTCTTTCTTCCATTTCACATCCCAACACAACTGCATTGGCCAGCAGTAAAAGACAAACAGAGACTCAACTGTGAGCCAAGTACAAGACATTGACCTCTCGTTCAGTCCCAGAGGCACCATTTGCCTTCTCTCTGTTTGTTCTTGAGTGCTCATCATAGACTCCTCAAATCTTACGTCATTGGCTTCTCTTATAAACACTGATGTCATGTGACTCACACTGTTGTGTCTAGTCGTTTATATCTATAAAAGGGACATGGTGCCACAAATAACATCCTCAAGCCCCTCCTCCAAGTATCTTTTACAGGTTATAAATGGTGTCGGTGACCTCTATTTCAGCCAACTAGACACTGCAGTATCTTAGTATTATTAACTCCAACGATTCCCATGTAGCTAACAATGGGAAACGCATCTTACTCAAGGCAGAAATGAGCCGATTTCTTGGCTAAGTTTATCCTGATCTGCCCACTTTGTTTAAAAATATATTTTTTTTCTAATGAAGAAGCATTTTGAAAGCAAATGTCCTCTTTAGATGAGAGGGAACGAAAGGGAGAATAAATCACAGAAACAAAGGAAAGTGTGTCACACACACAACACACACTCATTTTGGGAATAATCCATAGGCTAGGACAATCGGCACCCACCACACAGAGCCCTGGGTTAGCATCAGCACAGGCAAGCCCGGAATGTGCTCACTGTTTCAACACTGTAATCAAGTAACTTTTATAGGAAATGAATCCTTCACCTATTTGGCTGGCTGGAAATACCTGGTCAATGTCTTCATGCAGAATTCACAGCTTCGTGGGAACAGCCCACGCATGCAGTCAAAGGGGAGCAACCCGGTTTGGCAGCATTGAGAAGGTTTGTTTTAATTGGAATGATCCTTTTAGGCTAAGCATCATGCTTGGAGGGTTTTTCTTAGGCAATGCCTTTAAGCTATAGATTACCATTCCCAGGCACATAAGAACATAGAAAAAAATGCCGGCTTTCTAAACATCTCAGTAATGGTGTCACAGAACTAAGACTTCTAAGCAAGTTTTCCCTATTGTCCTTTCCCTGACTCTGTTCCCTTACCTTTTCCCTCTCCATCTTCTCAGATCCCTGCCCTTCTCCTCCTTCTCTGTCTGACATGATGCAGCAGCCGAGGAGATACACTGGTATTACCTGAAGAAATCATCTAAGCTCCTTCCCCTGTGTCCTTCTCAGAAGAAAATATAAACCATGAAGACCTTCCTTCTAAA